TTTAAGATATGCTGAGTGTGTTCTTCCTTTTTAGTTTTCAAACTCGAGGTCTTTTGCACATTTCATTATTTTATTTTTGTCTTCTCGAGCTGCTTGAATTTTCTATTCAGCTCTTTGACTTCATCATCATTTTTTCATTTGTTTTAGCTACTCTATGATTAAGAGCAAGTTTCAAAGGCTCTGCTGACCTCCACTTGACCTTTTCTACTTTCCTTTCTCTTTGATTACCTTTCACTTTCTCTATGCATGCCGTTCTTGGTGTCACCCTCGAGCTCATCGAGTCGTTACTGCGCATTGCATTAAATCTCCTCTGGAGATTGCCTCAGAGTTCAGGTGGGATAGACTCAAGGTTGGATGTTGAGATTGCCTCAGAGTTCAGGTGGGATAGACTCGAGGTTGGATCTTGGCTCTCATGGACTTGTTTTCTGCAGTTTCAACTGAACTCTTACATGTGAGTCAGCCCCAGGCCTGGTTTTAGCTGCTGATACTTAGCATCTCCACGATCTCTTCCCACAGATGTACTCAGTTTTATTTTTGTGTGTTCAATCTGGAGAAATCCACGTGGCCAGTCATCTTTTGTGTTGAAAAAAAAGATATTTGTGATGAAAAAGTCATTGGTCGTGTGATCAAGTCATTTGGTTAAGCAACATTCTGTCATGCAATCTCAGGTTTCCTCCTGTCACCAAGGCCATACTTTCCAACGACTGTTCCTTCCTCTTTGCTTCCAACTTTTGCGTTCCAATTACCAATTATCAATGCACCTTGATTGAATGTTTTATCAATTTTAGGCTAAATGTGTTGGTAGAATTCTTCCACTTCTTCATCATGAACTTTAGTGGTATAAATCTGAGTAATAGTTGTATTGGTTGGATTTCCTTGACATCAAGTAGATGTACTCCTATCACAGACAGCACGGTACTGTGAGATGGATATTCAAATGTCCTGTAAGATTATGAATGTACCTTGGGCCTTCACTCAAGTATCCCTCAATGCAAGAACATTTTGCTCTATTAAACTGGCATTCCATGATACTCACCTTCCCGACACGATCACTGAAGACAAAGTGGGACATAAGCAAATGTGGTGAAGAAAGCTGATGGTGCCCAGCTATCAAAAGATATAGTGTCTGGGGTCTTAAAGGTCTGAAGGTAAATAAGCAGCCATCTAGCTCAGAAGCAACAAAGCCTACATGGAAGAAGCACACCAGCCTGTGTGACCATGAGGTATCGAAGGGATCAGGTATCAGGCATCAAAAAACAAAAAATCAAATCACTGTGAATGAGGGGGAGTGCAAATTGGGGACCCAAGACCCATCTGTAGACAAATGGACATCCCTTTACAGAAGGGTCGTGGGGAGGAGACGAGCCAGTCAGGGTGCAGCGTAAGCAATGATGAAACATGCAACTTTCCTCTAGTTCCTAAATGCTTCCTCCCCTCACCCCCTCACATCCCCCCCAACACACACTGTTATGATCCCAATTCTACCTTACAAATCTGGCTAGACCAGAGGATGTACACTGGTACAGATAGGATCTGGAAATACAGGGAATCCAGGACAGATAATCCCTTCAGGACCAGTACTGAGAGAGGCGATACCAGGAGGGTAGGGTAGAAAGGAGGAACCAATTACAAGGATCTACATATAACCTCCTCCCTGGGGGATGGACAACAGAAAAGTGGGTGAAGGGAGACGTCTGACAGTGTAAGATATGACAAAATAATAATCTATAAATTATCAAGTGTTTATGAGGGAGTGGGGAGCAGGGAGGGGGGGTGGAATACAAGCCCCGGATAAAATAATTTTAAAAAATCAAAAAACAGATGATGAATGTAGCATCATTCCCCCTACTTGTGTCATTCCTAGAATAGTAAACTATGATTCTCTGATTCAAGATGGCCAATACCAGGCCATCTCAGCTCACTGATACCTAGAATGCCAATTTCTATGGGTTTCATTTAATTTTTTACAACTTCCAATTTTCCTAGATTCCTACTTCAAATATTCCAAGTTCTGATGACTGACTGATGTTGGGCTGCTTTTCTCATTTTGAGCTGTGCCCCATCAGAAAATGCAGGTCCCAGAGGTTTCCTTTCGCAGGCTTTCCTCCGTCCATGGCCTCCTGGTCTGCTTGACCACGAGAAGGCAGCTCTGCCGAGTCAGGTTTGGAGTGCCTTCCAACGGGAGGGACTCATCTCCTGGCACCGTCGTCAACCATGTTCTGCTTCCTTCACGAGGTTTCCTCAGGAAAATGTTTCTGACAACGTTACAATTCTGTCCATACGGGGTTCTGTGTCTAAGTCCTCAGGAGTGGGCAGCGCTCTTCAGAGTTTGTTCGTAGTCTGAAAGCTCTGCTGACACCTGCTCGTAGTCTCCAGCATCACAACAACACAAAAGCCACCACAGTATGACAAACTGACTAGGACTTCCTAAAATTAGACACGGATGCGCACCAAAAGATTTCATCAAAAGAATAAAAAAGGAATCCAGAGTCTGAGAAAATGTTTTGGCAAAGACATATCAGGCTAGCGACTATCCTCTAAAATTTATAGAAAAACCTAAAATGTGTAGAAAAAAATTTAAATGTGGCCAACAAACATGAAGAAATGATTCTGGCTGATACCAAGGGCTGAAGTAGAAAGAAAATGTTTTGAGAATGATGATGGCAACAAATGTGCTAATGTGCTTGACACAAGGGATGTATGTATGGATTGTGAGAAGAGTTGTACAAGCCACCAATAAAATGATTTATAAAAAAAAGAAGAAATGTCCCCGATCATTAACCATCTGAGAGATGCAAGTTAAAACTATTATGAAATACCATCTCACCCCAGAATTAATAGAAAACTCAAAAATCTCACTGCTGTCGAATCAATTCTAACTCATAGCAACCCTGTAGAACAGGGTAGAACTGTCTCTGTGGATTTCTGAGACTATAAATCTTTACAGTAGTAGAAAGCCTCATTTTTCTCCTGCAGAATGACTGGTGGTTTTGAACTGCTAGCCTTGCAGTTAGCAGCCCAAGGCATAACTCATGACACCAACCGTGGAGAGACTGGCACCCTCATGGACTGTTGATAGGACTGTAAACTATGCAACCACTGTGGAAAATGATATGGTGCTTCTCTCAAAAGATGGAACTAGACATATTATGTGATCCAGCAATCCCAACGCTTGGTATATAGCCCAGAGAAATAAAAGCCACAACACAAGATGATAGATGCACACTCATGTTCATTGCTGCACTATCCATACCAGCAAAAACATGGAAATGATCTAAATATCCACAGATGGAACAATGGAGAAACAAAGTATAATACATGTACACAGTGGAATACATCAAATAGTAACGACAGATCTGCAAAAACACCTTAACATGGATAAACATGGAGGACATTACACTGAGTGAAATAAGAATCACAAAAGGACAGTTATCCTATGAAACCACGATTTTAAAAGAAAAGATTTTCATACTAAAAGAAACATTCTTTGATCATTACCAAGGGTGTAGGGGGCAGGCGGGGTGGTTACTAGCTAGAAGGTAGACAGATGTTACCTGGGGTAAAGGGAAGGCGATATGTAAGAGAGGTTGGCAAGGAAAAATGGAGGCAGGAAGAGACATTGGGAGGAATGCAAGAGTTAAAAACAGCAGAGGCACACACTGCTACATACACAATCCGCCATACAATGACCTCCACGGGGGCACGGGGACAGACACAGAGGCAGAGCAGGTATAGGAGGGGGGGTGGGGGCTGGAACTACATCCACAGAAATATATAGGGGAGAAATTTGAGAGGAAAAATTTTTACATGTGTATTTACCAGCGCTGCAGATATATCCATGAATGAGATGGGGCAGACAGAAGGCAAAATTGAGAACATAACAAAGTACCTTGAGGGGATGGATCAGTGGTCCTGGGAGCTGATGACCATGGTCATGGAGGACACCAAGGGCAATTGGCATGACAGAGTCCACAAAGCCAGTATTCTACATTCCTACCTTGGTGAGTAGCAATTGGGGTGCTAAAAGCCTCTGAGTGACCCGATACCAGTGGTTCTCAACCTTGCTAATGCCGCGACCCTTTCATACAGTTACTCATGTGGTGGTGACCACCCAACCATAAAATTATTTTCGTTTCTACTTCATCACTGTAATTTTGCTACTGTTATGAGTCAGGTGACTCCTGTGAAAGGGTCATTCGACCCCCAAAGGGGTCGCGACCCACAGGTTGAGAACCACTGCCATATACAGTGCAACTATGGGTCTCTTCCCATTCAGAGGAAAGAAGAGTTAAGGAAATTGAGGATGCACAGAAACAATTAATCCAATAGACTAAGACTATGAGAAATCAGTCCATACAACGTTAAGCCGGAAGAACTAGATGGTGCCCACTGCTACCTGCAATAGCTCTGGAGGGGATCACATTAGAAGGTCCTGGGTAAGAGTAGGAGGAGATTTGGGGACAAAACTCAAAATCATAAAAATGACTAAGCTTTCCAGTTGGCTAGAGGCTGTTAGAACCCTCAAGACTCCAGCTTTTAGCAACTCTTCAGGTCTGGAACTGAACTCACTTCCATGGCTCGATTGGTAAGTCTATATGGGGTACCGTAACACTGTGGAGGGAAGCATTCCTTAAACCACCCAACCATCTGAGATCAAAAGGGCAGCATTTGCCCAGGACTGAGTTTAGGAAGCAGGAGGGGGATGGGAATGGGCACCCCAGGAGCAGGGAGAGAAGTGATGTTACACTGGGATAATAACCGTGACATGAAACAAACTGCACATAAATTATGAAACGGGAGATTGGCTTGCTCTGTAAACCTTCACTCACTTTGCAACCAAAAGTTGTAAAAGGGTCGGGGGATTAAAGCTTCCAATTAGTGAGGGCTTTACCAAGAAGTGTCTCCCCACGCTTCCCAGGTTGGGAGAAGATGTGGGCAGGAGAGCGCACCTCTCTGCGGCCAACATTCAGCCACATCCATGTTTCCTCGTATCTCCGTACCTGAACGTGCCCGCCTCCTGGAGGGCATCCTGATTGGAGGCTTCCCGTACTACCCACTCCTTCTCATTGTACATGGTCTCCTCCTGCTTCTTCAAGAGTGAGTAGAGACGGTCCTTGAAGACCTTCAAGAAAGAGGCTGTAAGGAAGGAGAGGACACATCCAATTAACAGACCCTACAGGCAACGAGTCGTGAGCTCCGAAAGACTTTCAGTCCTCCTCTGTCAATAGGTCACACGGCCGTTGCATCTGCTAGTCCAATTGCAGAGCAGACTCCCAGAGATGTTCCCAGTTTCCCTCTGAGTCAGCTGTTCCGGGGAGCCCCAGAGGACGGAAAGGGCTCCCCACACACAACTGAGGAAGAGCCCACAATGGACAGAGGATGGAAATAGACACAAGTTTGACAGTTCATTTCTATCCTGCCAATATATCCGTGTATACAGTAGAGAGCACTGGGCAAGGGGGTGCAGAGTGAGTAAAGTTCTTCGCCATAATCAAACACTTTGAAGGAACGGCTCCAGGAGCCTGAGGGCCAAGGACCATGGTCTCAGGCTCTTCACAGTCCATTGCTATAGCAGAGTTCAAAATGACAATCTATGTTTTCCCAGTTGGTACAAAGAAGAGTGAAGAAAACAGAAGATCGATGGCAACAACTAGATGAACGGACCACTAAAACACCAACCTGCATGACTCTCAGACCGCGGGAGCCGGATGGCACCCAGTTGTATTACCTACTATACTGAAAGGGAGCTAGAAGGGCCTGGAGAGACTGGGAGAAAACTGTGGAGCCAAACTCGAAATCTCTTTTCTTAAAAAGGGCCGTGCTTGCCATGCTTCCTGCTCTGATCAGAGACTGTGGAGCCCCAAAGACCATGGCCCTCTGTCCCCTTTTATGCCTGGAACGGAACTCACCCCTCTGGGTCAATTTTCAGCTATTTAAGACAGGTCTATAAGGGTATAATTGGGCTACACTTAAGAATAATAAATCAATTGAGAATAAAAGGGCATCATTTGCCCAAAAATCCAGATCAGACGGCAGGAAAGGGCTATCAGAGGCTGGGGAAAGGACCTGGGAACCCAGACGGAGTGGGAGAGGTGATGTCAGTGGGGGGGTTGCAGTCAATGACATGAAACCATCTATGAATTGCTGAAAGCAGATTTCCTCTATAAATCTTCATTTAAATTCGCAATGGAAAGTTAGAGAAAAAGAAGAAGCGAACCAGCCAACAATGGGGAATTGGGAATAGCACAGAGAGGGGTGAGGACCATACCTCTGAATCCATCTTCTTCATTCAAGAGGCCGAGAAGGATCTCTACTCTCCTCGTGTTGCGTGGAAAGCGCTCGTTGTGGTCTCTGAGCATCCCCACAGCACTCTGCACGCAGCTGCTCAGGAGTCTGCTAGTGTCCAGGACCTGCAGCCGTCAGTACAATGCCGTGAGATGGCATCTCAGGGTCGACATGCAGGAAGCAGAGGTGATTTTCCATGTAGAGATGACGCTGGTGACCGACCAGCTGCTCCTGAGAGTCCGCCCACGTCCCCTGCTCATCAGGGACTTGGTCAGAACAGAGCACAGTTAACAGGGAGACCTCAGGAAACTCTGAGGGCCAGGATTTCACCTACAGTTGACTCCAGCACCAAGGGAGCCCTGGAGGCTCCAGGGCTCAGCACTAGCTGCAAACCGTGCGCGCAATGGCCCGTGACCACCAGCTGCTCCTTAGGAGAAGAGACCTGGCGATCTGCCCCTGAGAAGATTTTAGCCTCAGCAAGAAAGCCTGGGGGGCAGTTCTACCCTGTCCTGTGAGTCAGAGTGGACCTGACAGCGCTTGAAACAGCAACGCTGCCAGCACCAGTCGTCATGAGTCAGCTCTTAGTCCGCATGCCCCGTGTGTAACAAGATAGAGCGGCTCCACAGGGCTTTCAATGGCTGGGTTTCAGAAGTTGATCCCACGGCTTCTTCTGAGGCTGCTCTGCATGGACTCGAAAGCCCAGCCTTTCAGTTAGTAGCCACACCCCCGTTACCATTTGGCATCCTCCACGGACTCCCACTATCTGGAGTAGAGGGGGAAAGGAGGGCCCCAGCATGGCCCAGGGGGCCCTGGAGGGCTGGTGCTTACCTCAGTGCTTCTGGGCCCAGAGGCTGCCCCCTCCACCTCGGCAGAGCTGTCCGTGTCCATTCCCAGCTCTGCTGTGTCCCCAGGTCCTTTCAGCTCTGTCTCCATCGCCTCCTCCTCCTCATGGTCCCCTGTCCCGTGTCCCATCTCCACTGCAATGGAAGCAGAGCCAATCAGCCTACGATGCACACAGGGACCTCAGCAGCACTTCCTGTGAGGACACGTGCTTAGCACATGCCCAGGCTGGCCAGAGTGGCCCCCAGATGAGGCAATGTTTGCCATACAGACAGGACACAAGTTGAGTTCACCCACTCAGGGTGGCTCCCCCCTTCCGCCTCCCAGGGGGCTCTGTCAGAGGAGCCAAGACAAACAGACACCTTCCAGAGGGGCTCTCCCCAAAGATCTCCGAGGCCAGTGACAGCCCCCTCTGCCAGCCTTGGGGAGCAGGTCAGGGTGCTGTGGTCACTCCCCGGTCAGATAGGTCAGCTCAGCAAAGGTCTTGAGCTGCTGCTACAGGGCAAGTGCTGGGAGCCAGAGGGTACTGAGGCTGGGTGTCCTGTTGGCCAGCACCCACCGTGCACAGCTGCCCCCACAGCACTACCGGTCGGGCCCATCCACTATCCTGGGTCCCCAGAACCTCCGCTCAGCACTCACCCTCAGGCCTGTTCTGTGGAGCGAAGAGCTGGCTGATGGAGACATGTTGCAGCTCGGTCACGTCGGAAACCATGGTCGCTGACCTGTGGAGGTCGTCGATGTGCAGGCACTGCCACAGCCCTGGCAGAGAGAAAGCCGGGGTCCTCTTGTCGCTCCAGTACTCTGCTGTGAGGGAGGGGCTCCTGTCCTCCATGGAAACCCCTGAACGTGCTCACGTGGAACCCACCTGGGCATGCCGGGCCATGGGAGTCGGCGTAAGTATGTGATGCTCTCAAGTGTCTGCCGGTGTGTAATAATACGGGAGGGAGACCCTGCAGAGGTTTGCCTGTTGTTGTTATGGTTAGGTGCTGCCAAGTTGGTTCTGACTCAGAGCAACCCTGTGCACACAGAACAAAATGCTGCCCAGTCCTCCCTCTTGTTATGTGTGTGTCCGTGATCATTACAGTAGGTTTCTGGGCTCCTATTTCTGGATTGCCACTTTTCTTAGAGGATAAACAATGGGTGGCCCAACCCCTAGGAGAAGGAGAAGGCTTTCAGACAGCACTCTCCTGCCTCAAGTAGGCGTAAAGTATAAAGGTTCAGGCCAGATTCAGAAAAGGAGAGGGAACAGGGATATCATTCATTGTTGACGTCAGATGATGTTGCTGAAAGCAGAGAATACCAGAAAGATGTTTACTTGTGTTTGAACAAAGGCATTCAAATGTATGAATCATAGCAAAGTATGGATAACTTTGAGAAGAATGTGAATTCCAGAGCCCTTCATTGTGCTTATGTGGAACTCGTACATGGAATAAAAGGCAGATATGCAAATAGGTTTAAAATCAGGAAAGGTGTGTGTGTGGGTTGTATCCTCTCACCATACTTATTCAATATGTCTGCTGAGCAAATCACCAGAGAAGCTGGATTAGATGGAGAAGAATGCCGCATCAGGACTGGAGGAAGGCTTATAAAGAACCTCTCCTATGCAGAAGGCACAGCCTTGCTTGCTGAAAATGGAGAGGACTGGAAGCACTTGCCGAGGAAGATCAAGGAACAAGCCTTCAGTACGGCTTGTTCCAACTCAATATAAAGAAAGGCCCAAATCAATCGCTGAAGACAATTGGGTACATTAAGCAAATGTGGTGAAGAAAGCTGATGGTGCTTGGCTATAAAAAAATATAGCATCTTGGGTCTTAAAGGCTTGAAGGTAAACAAGCAGTCATCTAGCAGGGAAGCAACCAAGTCCACCTGGAAGAAGCAGACCAGCCTGTGTGATCACAAGGTGCCGAAGGGATCAGTTATCAGGCTTCAAAGAACAAAAAATCATATCATTGTGTGCTCACCTCCCCGATACGATTGCTGAAGACAAATGGGTGCATAAGCAAATGTGGTGAAGAAAGCTGATGGTGCCCAGCTATCAAAAGCTATAGCATCTGGGGTCTGAGAGGCTCGAAAGTAAACAAGCAGCCATCTAGCTCAGAAACAACAAAGCCTATGTGAAAGCACCCTAGCCTGTGTGATCACGAGATGTCGAAGGGGTCAGGTATCAGGCATGAAAGAACAAAAACTCAAATCATTGTGAATGAGGGGAGTGCAGATTGGGGACCCAAGACCCATCTGTAGGCAACCGGACATCCCCTTAATGAAGGGTCTTGGGGAGGAGATGAGCCAGTCAGGGTGTAGTGTAGCAACAACGAAACATACAACTTTCCTCTAGTTCTTAAATGCTTTTTCCCCCAACCCCCCTCCAACTATCATGATCCCAATTCTACCTTACAAATCTGGCTAGACCAGAGGATGTACACTGGTACAGATAGGAACTGGAAACACAGGGAATCCAGGACAGATGATCCCTTCAGGACCAGTGCCGAGAGTGGCGATACTGAGAAGGTGGAGGGAGGGTGGGGTAGAAAGGGGGAACTGATTATAAGGATCTACATTTAACCTCATCCCTGGGGGATGGACAACAGAGAAGCGGGTGAAGGGAGACGTCGGACAGTATAAGATATGACAAAATAATAATTTATAAATTATCAAGGGTTCATGGTGGGGGTAGTGGGGAGGGAGGGGGGAAATGAGGAGTTGATGCCAGGAGCTTAAGTGGAGAGCAGATGTTTTGAGAATGATGAGGGCAACGAATGTACAAATGTGCTTGACAATTGATGTACGTATGGATGGTGATAAGAGTTGTGTGAGCCCCCAATAAAATGATTTTATAAAAGCCCATATCCTCACAACTGGACCAATAGGTAACATTATGATAAAGGGAGAAAAGATCAAAGAGGTCAAGGATTTTGTCTTGCTTGGATCCACAATGCTCATGGAAGCAGCAGCCAGATCAAAAGATGAGTTCCCTTAGGGAAATCTGCTGCACGAGACCTCTTTAGAGTACTGAGAGCAAAGATGTTACTTTGAGGACTAAAATACACCTGACCCAACCCGTAGTATTTCCCATTGCCTAACATGCCTGTGAATTTGGACATAAGACCAAAGAAGACTCGATGCATTTGAATTGTGGTGCTAGAGGAGAATATTGAGAGTACCAAGAAGTACTAAAAGGACAACCAAATTTGTCCTGCAGGAAGGATAGCCAGAGGCAAGGATGGTGATACTTCTTCTTACACACTTTGGACATGTAAGGAGAAGGACGGCATGCTTGGTAAAGTGGAGGCGCAGCACACAAGAGGGGCCCTCGGTCAGATGGATCGACACAGTGGCTGCAACGGTGGGCTCAGCACAGGAAGTCTGAGGATGGTGCGGGCCGGCAGTGTTTCTCTCATTCGGTGTGTGTCAGATCGCTTTGGGTTGAAACCAACTCGATGGCACCTAACAACAGCAACATTCAGGCAGTCACCATCGTGTAATGGGCATCCTTCCCAGTGTGGTGCACACAGTGAAGGCGGCAAGCCAGCGCATCGTCAAGTGTCTCCTAGAAGCAGAATGAAGGGAATTCTTTCTGTGTGTCACAGCAGCGAGTCCAACGAGCTGTGAGTTTTCTTTGCCTTTGAAATGACTAGGGGTGAGAAATCTAGCCGTATCTGAAGAGAATACTGAGGTTAATCATCTAACTGTAGTCTTCCACCGCAGAGAACCAAATTTAAAGTAAGGGAAACATTATTAAAACAAATACCTTTACTAACAATCTTGGACCTACCTCCATGGAATCCCACGTAGGACGTTTCACTTCCCATCCTGGGCAACTTTGTGATGAAATAGACCAAGACATAGTCCTTTTTTATCTGGATCTTGTTGATTTCATTTATAGCAGAATACCTAAATTAAAAACAAGCAAACGTCATCAACTTTCTGAAATGGCTGAAAGGCATCCTAGTAGCTTTTGTGTTCAATATCACATGCTCACGTTGGTGTTTTGTGTTAGTTGTGCCTTGTTTCTTGCTTTGCGTTAATTTTGCACCCACTCCATCTTTCTCTCTGTTTGGAGAATAAGTCCAAGTGCTCCTCCAGTGAGCTCATTGTGCACACCCCTCTGGTAGAAGGGCATTCCTTTCTCAGCTGGAGACCCTGCCTTCCCATTGGGGGGGGACATGGGGGGGTGCTTGCCCTGATGCACCGAAGCGGGGCTAGATGAACTTTACATTTCAGGAGTCAGAGTTCTGTGGGCCACACAATCCCCTCATATCACCAAAGACCCCAGCGTTGCCCACTGGTAACTAATCAGTCATGACATGAAACATGGTTCCCAATGCTTGAAGAGGTGCAGAAATTACTTCAGCTCACAGAAAAGGAACAAAGTTCAATGTGAGAGGATCGTCTTACTCATGCAAACATGAGAACTACTGAGAGAGAGAGAGAGAGAGAAAGCCTTTACATGCTGTGATTTCCCTTTTACATGCAGTGAATTCCAGTGTGCCAGTCAGAATTCACAACTACCAAACCATGTCTGCACACATTTCCGTCTAGGATATTCTTTATAGCCTACTCATATTCTTTTACACTTCTTGCACTGTAAAGCTTCAGTATTGTTGTTAGCTTTTTTTTTTTTAATTCAAGCTCCATGTTTGGAGAACTAGAAGGGAGGAGAATTTTCACATCTTTGTCTTGTTTTCATTATATGATGTTATTTTCAGGGAAGAACTGCTTTAGGGGGTCCTGAATGAATTTTGAGTCTCCTCCTCAGTTTCTGAAGGAGTCTGCTGGCATGTGGTTCCACATTGGACCCTAGGGTCAGCAGTTCATTCACCAGCAGCTCCACAGGAGAAAGACGAGGCTTTCTACTCCCATAAAGAATTACAGTCTCTGGATGAGCCAGTCAGAATGCAGTACAGCACCGATGAAACACACAACTATCCTCTAGCTCTTTGGTGCTTCCTTCCCCCCACTATCATGACCTCAATTCTACCT